TCAATAAGCAATCCTGAAAAATATTTGGGGGTGCTTAACTTTTTTCCAGGTGTATATATATATAAATTAATAGTTCTAAAACTATCAAATACATTAATTGTAAACAGGCAATTTTTTTTAATCAGTACTAGAAAACAACAATGATGAAATTGATATAAATTAAAAACATTACAAAGAGCCTCAGAAATCAAAATTAATTTTTCCATTACCAGTCTTTGTTGTCATCATTAAAACTCACAATGGATAATGTCTGTGGCCATGGCATCTATTAGACAAGATCCAGACACCAATGACCAACTGGTCTGCAACTAAGGTTAGCAGTTGAGTGCTTGAACCAACAACATCTCTACTCTTACTGCCTTTTGTTGTCTACAGCCAGTTGCCTTTAATATCTAATTACAACATTTAAAGTAGAAATAAACCACCCTAAATTTCTGCAATGTAAAACTCCCAAAAAGTAAAAATATTCCCATAGTAGAAATAGACCACCCCATATTTCTCCAAGACTCCCAACCTCCACTCTTTCATTGAATAATTACAAATTGATGTTAAACAGAACTAAAACCTCTATCTTAGCAGTTCTTAATTTACCATCTTCTTCTCTTTCTCTTGAAAATTTGTTCAAGTATAAATTGAGTGAGCTGAGAAAAGCTCGGCTACCTGAAGTTGGTTTTTCGGCTCTGGCATACTGAACAAAAGGTCTAAATATTTTAAAGTTAGTTACTTATAAGCTAAGGATGATCTTGAATAACTAACAACCTCTTAGTTTTATATGGAAGAGGAAGCTCCCGTAACAAGAACCTGTCTCTGCATGTGCACACCTCCAACACAACCAACCCCAGATCCACCTAGAACCGACATCCGGCAGATGGTAGGAAGTAGGAGAGCCCAGGTCAGTGTTCATCTCTGTTCCAAGACCTGGTGGCATTAGAAATTTAGTCATCCATACCATGGTAGGAGGAGGGTACCCAGCCTTACACAAGTGGAAAGTCATGGGTCTCGTCCAGCTACAACCAACACCAGATCCACCAGGAACCAACATCCATCGGGCAGGAGGAAGAGGGACCGCAATTGTGGGGTTGCATCTCCAGTCCAAAACCTAGTGGCATTGGGAATTTATCGTCCATTCTGCAGTATGAGGAAGGTAAACAGCCAAACACGAGTGAGGACTTATGAGGCTGGACCATCTCCGACCAATACCCGATTCCCAGTAACTATAATCTGGAGGATGGTAGGAAGGATGATGTCTCAGCCAGAGGGGTAAACTGCATTTTTTTTTATTGTTTGTTTCTATATATCTGGGGGGATGCTACATCCAACATCTAGCAGCATCTGGAATTGTACACTAGGTCTGTGATAGGAAGGGCATCACGCCATTGACACCTGCAGAATGCCACTGCACTACTCTCAAACTGAGTGGTGTTGTGCACACTCCAGTGACTAGGTAAGTGGCAAGGTTTGTTTGTTTGTTTGTT